GTTGAGGTTCTCGTCGATGAGGTGGAGTCTCAAGTCACGAGCATGTGGTGTGGCAGGTGATGAAGGCTCATGTACTTGATGCAGATGAAGTCTCCACCCTCGAGACATCTTCTTCTCTTCTCTCATCTCATTGCCCCAAACCATATATGACAGAATCGATTGGCCACCATCGCGTCCACCAAGAGGGACCGATGTTGATGTTGCCTTGGTCTGGCAAGGAGACACTGCAAATGGGTCCTTGCTAAGCAGTTCCACAAAGTTTGGTGGGGATATTACTTGTAACTCATGGCCGGTGCATGCCTCTTCCACCTCAACTTCATCCTCACCCTGGACGCCAATTGCTTCCTGAACCCCCCTTCCTTCTTCAAAATGTGGTCTCTCCCCTGGGAAAAGATCAAGAACCACCTCTTCTTTTCTTTCTTCCTCATCCTCCACAACTTCCTTCCTCGTCCTTGCTCGCTCTTCTTCTTCTAGAACAGATTGGAGAGCAAGTCGCCAAGCAATTTATTCAATGGGATCAGCTTGCATCTCCTCGCACGTGCCCAGCATTTTAGAGCATAAATGAGGAAAGGTGTGATATGCAACCAGAGGACGTTCCTGATCTTGATTATCATGGGAGTTCTCGATGATAACTTCTGTATGCTCCTCAACATCCCCGTAGCCTTTGTCATCCTCCACCTCTTCTAGCATGGTAGTAGAAAGGTGATCTTGAGCAAGATGTGAGCAAACTTGCTCCACCCACTCTGTTTGCTTCGCTGAGCGCTGAACAGTCTCCTCCATATCATGGAGAAATGAGGGATCGGAAGCAGCAAGGGCTTTGATTTGAAGATCCATCTTGGAGCATGATCTCTCAGTGTCTCGAGCAAACTGCTCCACGAGAAGCCTTAATTGTTTGTTCGGATCTTCCAGTAAAGTGTAGCATGGCTCTGCAGAGTGGCCCGTGAAGGCCGCCATGGGTAACTCCAGCTCCGACGGCCCTTTTGGTTGTGGGAGAAAGTCTTCTTGGTAATGAGGTTGTTCTTGATATGCCCAGGGGTCTGGTTGTTCTCCGTAGAAAGGGGGTTGGTACTGGAACCCGAATCCATAGTCTTCTCCTCCTTGATTGCTCCAGGGAGTCTCGGGGTAATACCACTCGGATGGTGGTGGATACCCCCACTGGTTGGAGAAGCCATGCGGATCCATGATTCAGATCTGCACCAACAAAAACAAAAACACCCAAGTGAAAAGCAAGGGTGGAAAAGAAAAGAAAAACGCTAAAGTAACAAACTTCTGCCTTTCCTAATAATCTAGAAAGTCCCCGGCAACGGCGCCAAAAACTTGACACGCTAAAACACAACACCTAACAATGGTCAAGTGTAACCAATGAAAGGGACTGCAGTATAGTGGCACAAGTAATAAATATCGAATCCACGGGTCTCTAGAGTTACTATTACTCAGCTTCAGTTCATTATCTAGCAAACTAGATTTAAGGATTGATTAACTAAACTACTCTACTAACTAAACTAAGTAAAACTACTAATTACAGTTTGGGAACTCAGTTAGGTATGATTCCCCCTAGCTCCTCAATTAGGTCCAAGTTGTAATTCCTTTTGGTTGTTTTACTGTTGATTAGACTGCGGAAGATCCGACAGTAGCTTGGAATCTCTTAAGCTGACCAAGCCCTCTCAGTCTAACTATCCGGCAGACGACTAGCCTTCACCGGGATAGAAAGCTGAAGCAATAAGCACAGAACTCCACTACTGGAATTGAATTCCAGTACAAAGCAGTAAACTGGCTAACTCTCGTATAGCCAATCTCCTACTACCGAATGATGAGACTCTAGCAACCTAATCAGATTCTATCTATCTCAGATTGCAGCAGGAATCAGGAAAAGTAGATCAGACTTCAATTGACTCAATAAACATGCATCATTCGATTATAATCAAACAATATAGCATCCAAAACTTCATACAAGAAAGATCCTAACTCATGGAACTAGGGTTCCTCAAAACCTAAGTGAATGGAAGTTACTCCATAGAGAAGAGAGAGATTGCAGAAATCTGATCTAGATCTTCAATCTCCATCTCCAAGCTTGATTCCCGAGCTCCAATGGCGAAGAAATCCTCCAAAATAGCTCCAAGAATGTTCCCAAGTCGCTCTCTCTCTCTAGGGTTCGTCCCTTGGGTGTTTGGGATCCAAAACCCAGCTCTCTCCTTTCCTTTGGCTGAAAATCGGGTTTTAACCAGCAATTCCCGACTCACACGGGCAGGCCGCACGGCCGTGTGGCTCACCCAGTTGCCCGTGCGAGTCAAAACGCAGTGTATCACTTAGTTGAATTCCAGGCTTCTTACACGGCCAGGGTCGCACGGCCGTGCAGCTCACCTTGCACGGCCGTGCAGCTCTCCTTGCACGGCCGTGTGGATTTTCTGCTCTGCCCGTGTTTGCTCTCGCACAATCCCACACGGCCAAACTGGTCACTTGTACGGCCGTGTGGGTTGTGGGTGTGCCCGTGCGACTTCCTTTGTGACTTGCCTCGCGCCCGATCTTCGCCCAATCGACCCCGAACTCGCTCCTAAACCTTCATTCACTTGCCAGGACCTGAAATATCACAAACAAGCACAACCTAGGGTGAAATCGGTCTAAAACACGAGAAACCACATCTCAAACGGTGTAAGAACAGGGGTAAAAACATGTGTAATTAACGGTCTATCAATATTCTGTCACAAAATTTTGGAACTCTATTCATTGCCATTCACAGGAGGTTATCTGGTGGAAGCTTGTGGTGGCTAAGGAAATTATTCCTCGACATGGATTCCTAGTCTAGTTAGCAATGCGGAATAGACTTGTTACTCAAGACAAGTTGCAGTCATGGGGGAAACCAATGTCGGGGATGTGCTTTTTATGTCCAGGAGGAGTCGAAAGAAGAGATCATCTACTTGCGTCCTGTTCTTATACTGTGTTTGTTGAAAAAAAGTTTACGTTATCATTCTCCACCTGCTATAGAGGACTGGGAAGGTTTAGTGTCCTAGTATGTGCAGAAGTGGACAATGAAGATCCCCACGAAGTGTTTATCTAGGTTGATATGGAGTGCCACTCTTAGCCATGTTTGGTGAGAGCGATGCACCAAGATGTATGGGGCGAAACCAATCAAGAACCCCGAGGAGTTAGTGCAGCTTGTGAATGAAGATGTTCTTTATCGAGTATCTTGAGATCGTGCCCTTCAGTTAGAACTATGAAAGATTGTTAGGTTATAGTAACTGGTTTTTGATTGTTTTTTCATAGCAGTCGGTTGTAAAGGTTTGAGAGGCACATCAGGTTTTTTTTCTGATGAGAGCTGGCGCTAGCGCTTAATGAAAGTTTTTTTTATTTCGCATAAAGAATTATTAATAGTTAAATTATTCGGCCAATGATCGAGCACAAAGCTATTGTATGATGAAGTGGTTGGACTTGGTTGTGGTATTATGGTGGGTCTTGGTAGGATGAGGTAAAAATATGGCCGACTATTGTCAAGATTTAGACCAATGTTAAAATATTGAGATTGGGTTCCGTTTGATCCTCAAAACTCAAAATGGATCGAGTTTGAGCGTGGTTATTTAGATCTGTTTGGTAAGCGTAGTTCTAATTTAAGTAGAGGTCGGTTAACGGTTTCCTTGTTGGTTAACCACTAAGTGATGTCTCGGTTATCAATTTAATCAATAAGACAATAATCCTAATCGATAACTGAACTGTGTTTTCTTTATCGATTATCGGCTAAACTGATAATCGTCTTTATCAGTTCGGTTGTCGATTAAACTGATACCCACAAAATCAATTACCACCCCTACTTATTACACTTCGGCAACCATGAATGAGGATCCGAACCGGAGAAGAAAGGAAAATCCAATTTGGGAAGGTGATTGGTGAAGGGATGCCATTGTGGAGGTGGATGATCACGATTTTGAGCATTGCCGGTACTAGGCGGTCTGGGTGAGGCGGCGGGTAACCGCTCCAAAATTAGCTACACTGAAACCTTTAACAATAACTCCTCAATATCCGCACTAGTCTTCTACTGATTGGCTGCAAGTTGTTGCTCATTCTTCAATTTCATCATCTGCTCTTCCAAGGACATTATTTGTGAGTTATGAATCGCCATTGCTGCTAGAGAGGTGGCTCTAATACCACCGTAATAGCCTTGGACAGAAATTGGCTCCATCAAAGCAAGAAAAGGAGCAAAAAAATGAGGGAATGAAGAAAATACGAAGAGAGAGATAACTGGTAAACTAAAGATTGTTATTTCATAGTCCATCTGATGCCCCTATGTTCTAGGTTTCCCCTTCTTATACAATGTGAGTACAACAAAATTACATAATGGTACTCCAAGTATTGTGTCATTACAAGCGAAGAGGAAGACATCGGTGTGGCGAGAAGCTCTAGGATATGTAGGATCTCCGACAGGTAACGTCATTAGCCAGGTTGTGGCCAGCGCATCATCCTCGCTTGGAGACTTTCCTTCTCCGGCGTGCGGCATTGTTAGTCTTCTTTGATTCTTCGAGGTTTGATTTTTTGTTTGTAGGAACTAAGAGACATGCGTGAATGCGAATGGAACTGTCAATGGTGATCTTGATTTTTTTGACTTTCTAGTTTTCCTTCATTCGTGTTTCCTCAAAGCTAGGAGAAAAGGAGTCTGGACTAAGAAATGCACTTTGTCAATGAATGAATCGGGTCGGGCCTGTGTTATGTAGTGGGTTGGAGGCTTAAACAATTCGGTGCGGTTAATCATAAACCGCAAAACATGACATATTTCAACTATGCCGAATAAAATTTGTCTTTTTTCAATTTGCTTAACCGCAAACTACAAGCATTTGGTACATTTTTGGTTTAGCAAGTCTGTGCCATGTGCAAAGTTTCAGAAATGATCTTAAAGACCATGATGAATAAACTCAGTTGGAAGTTGAGGAGCACTATGAGCAATTACCAAAATTAAGTGGTCAGCTTGCAACTACACTTAAAAGTGTTACCGGCTGTTATTTACCCATCGGTCACCGAACAAAATCGTCTCAACAGCCAAAGAGCCAAGCCTCCCCTGTTCCCATTGAACCAACACCCCACTCGCCGGAGGTAGCTAGCAAGTGATAGGCAGGAGCCGAGCGAGTCCGTCAGTCAATGTCCGATGAAGATCCTTGGCTTGCCAGGGACAAACTCTACCATTTCGTCTTCTGTCTATTCCTCGCCCTCTTCTTCTCCAAACTCGCCTCCGTAACTCCCTACTCGTTTCTCCGCCGCCACTCGATTTGGGTCGGTTCCATTCTTTCCCTCCTGGCTGGCGCCGCCAAAGAGGCTGCCGATCACCTCGGAATCTTCCCTTCCTCCGGTGCCTCCGCCAAGGACGCTGTTGCCGATCTAATTGGTGTGTTAGTCGCCGCCGTCGCTCTCTCGATCTGTCGAAGCCCAGTAGCATCCGACCCCCCTTCGGGTCCGACCCGACGAGCTCTCCCTGTTTAGTCCCGACTTCTCCAGCTCAAGAAAATGTGGGGCTCGCGTCTCCAGAATCAGAAGCAATTAGTTGCTGGAGTGTAGTTTACAGTGTGGAGGAGAAAGTTTGTACCTTTTTCGTTTTCAACAGAAAATGGGAGTTATGAGTTCTGGATCTTGAGCAATGAAATTGCGGCAGCAAGAGGATATGGTAAGGTCAGTTCTCTCTCAGTTCCCACTCTACTAGTGAGTATTAGGATCATGGAGCTGATATAGGATAGGGTTTCTTGTTTGGTCAAACACAATTTCCATATCAATTGTTTTAGGAGTTCGAATGAATCAGGCAATGAACTGCATTTGACACTATCAGTAGCTAAATCCTTTGATGTAATCAATCTTTCACCTTTTTCGAACAATCTCCCGTAACAGTGGAGCTGAGTGAGTCTTCAGTGATTCTGGCCCAACTTTGTAGAGGTGTTTTCCCGGGGTTAGCTCTCTGATTCTTCTGTTGAATCTGATTGTCAAGTTACCTGCTGTCAAATGTAGTGCTCATAGCAGGAACTCTGCTTGGTTATTTTTGCTAAATGGCTGATCCCGTTCTGTGATTCTGAAGCAGTTTGTGAAGTGTCAGATGAATTCCTAAGATACATATTGAGGTTTAGTATAGCTTAGGGCTGGTAAACGGTATTGCCGTTAACGGTATAGCCGATAACCGTACCGATAACCGCTGTTACCGGCTAAACCGTTAACCGTATGAAACGGTATTCGGATGTGGGAATGGGGGAAGCGGTATACCGACATGGCTTCGGTAATTTACCATCAGGACTTCGGTAATCCGATACCGAATATGAAAGGCTAGCCCAGCAAACGTCGCCCCAAGCCCACAAGGCTCCAAGTCTCCCCAGCTAAGTAATTAACCTAGGTACTAGTAATTAGTAATTAATTGATAGTCTATTATCTATTTGCATAGCTCCCTGCCTGCCGCACGACAATTCACGCCGCCCGATTCTTCCCCACTCTTCGAATCCAAATGCCGGCCGACCGAAACCTAGAGAATCTTCGTCCTCTCCATCGCCGAAGCACGCTCGAGCCACGAGCCACAACCCAGCAGCCCAGTACGGTACCTCGGGCTCTGTTCCCGTCGACCCCGTTGCCGCCGGAGCTTAATCACTCGACCCAGCAGCCCAGCAGTTCAGTTCGTCCTCTCCATCAATTGCATGTAATGAAATTTGATTTGTAATTTGTTAATTGTTTCACTGTATGTGTTTCGGTGTTAATTGTTATCGCCGAGCATAGGAGAGCAGCCGTGTCTGTGTTGCAGGCTTGCAGCCGAGCAGAGGAGCAATGGCCAATGTGTTATTATTTATAACTTGACAAATCAAAATTTATTAATCTGTTGTGGTTTGCGTTTCGCTTTTGCAGCGTGTTAATGGAGCCACGAATGGCCAAATGGACGCATTAATTGATTAATGGAGGCATGGAAGATGGAACAGCAAGAAAGAAAGCTTGTAGCCTTTCACGGTTTCACCAATCACCATTCACCACCAAAGCACCAACCACCAATTGACTCTCACTCAACACAAAGATAATGATTTAATGGAGCAGAAAATCCCCAGTCCCCTCCCCACCCTTCCTGCACACCGTCACAGACTCACAACCTTCTGATGCAGAATTTATTGACGGACAAATGAAGCAGAGTGGGATCGCAGACAAAGTTCATCCTCGCCGTTTGCGGTAAAACGGGTAACCGACACAATACCGGTACCGTCCCGTTCCGGTAACGGTTTACCGAAACTATTTTGGTATCGGCAAACGGTGGCGGGGTGATGATGTTCGGTATACCGGTAACCGGTCAAACGGTAATCGGTTTAACCGGTTACCGACCGTTTACCAGCCCTAGTATAGCTGCACCACTTGTGCTTGCTTGTGTTTGTTAAAGAGGTGATTGAAGACTTGCAATAGGTCTGAATTTGCTGTCTGTCTAGGCTATTGAATGCAGAAACATCGAATTCGCCGGTGGATCTTCGTCCAACATAACTATACACAATGCATAAAAGAATTATTCATTGTACAAACAGGGAACAACTATTGCAGCATCTCCTTTGCCTATCTATGCATTATTGCCAGTTAAACTCAAGAAGAAGTACATGAATTACACTCTCTTTGTATTTTCAGATGCTGGTTTATTTTTCGTTTGGATATACCACTGATCATCAACCAATTCGTCGGTATCACCTCCTGAAGCTCCTTGATGTTGCTGGCTTCTCATGAGTATCTCCATCCTCCTCCTGATCAGGAAGCTTAACAGCTACGTAAGTCCCGGCTCCACATAGTGCCCCGAGTACGGGGGCAGTGAGGTAGATCCATATCGCTGTGTAGTTGTTCACAGCTACCGCAGGCCCCAAAGTTCTCACCGGATTCATCGAACCACCGGTTGTGTTCCTGCATCCCAGGAAAAAAAGAAGAAGAGAGGACATCTTCTGAGCTATGTGGAATGGAACTGCAAGCCGTAGTTAGTATGACTTGGGATCTCTTTCTCATTGGGCTTGATCATACTTTAAGGTGTTGATTTGTTGTTTTAGAGTTAACTGATAGTTTTACTTGTGGAGTAGAAACTTAAGAGAAAGGTTAGACACTTAGATGACAAGAGAAGAGACACACTACTCACCCAGCAATGAGAATGTTGAGCATTACAGTAGCCCCTACTGCAACTCCGGCTAGCTCCCCTACCTGCACAAGGTTTCAGTTATAAGTTTGAATGGGCCCAGCTGACTCAAACAGACAAGCCCACTCAATTAAGTCACGCGAAGCCCAACTGGTTGTTCACTCCACGAATGCCAGTTGATAATGAATCAACAATAGGTTTCTTTTTACCAACAAAGCTTTTTCTTTGGATGAAGATGAATAATTAAGTATTATCGGTGATCTAGTTGGAGAATCAACAAGGGGCTTGTGTTTGTGGCTTTGTGCATCACTAACTATTTATTTTATTCTCAACAATCCCACTTGGGGTTTGATTTACTCTGCCAAAGTTCCAACCAACCCTTTTGGCCTTAACTCCCCTTCTGCATCGGGAAGATTCCTAAATTATAAAGAGAAACGCTGTCTAGCCTAAGTTTATGTCACAAAAAAAGATACTTGCACTTTTTTATTTTGAAATAAATTCATCTTCGTTATTATTATATTATTATATGGTAATCATGCATGCATAGGGATTCGAGAAGCAGTTGGCCGCGCCCGTAAATGGGGTAAAAATGAAGGAAAACATCTCTTGTCACGTTAGGTGACAAAACAACTAATGTCAATTTATTTACGTATTTTTGTACTCATTCACGTCATTTTGTGTGTATTCACGTAATACTATGTTTATTCACGTAAGAGTGTAAGTTATTCACGTAAATGAAAATTCAGACTTTTCCCCCTAATAATTTGTATTGGCTATATTTTATGGAATTAAATTTGGATTCTCAATTAGTCTGTCAAAATATGTTGCATTGATCATAATCTACACAATGACATCCATTTTGATATATTTTAACGTCTAAAATTTAATTTTACAATGGCGTGAATAAATAACAATATGCGTGAATCGATACCAGGTTGCGTGACTAAACAATATTGGTTGCGTGAATAAGCAACACTCTTACGTGAATGATGTCAATATGGCGTGAATAACGAAAATATGGCGTGAATAAATGACAAAAATGCGTGAATTAGGTGTTCTTGTCACCTAACGTGACAAGAAACTTGATTCAAAAATGAATGCGAAACCTCACGTGGAATAATTACTTACAGCTCGGGTGTCGGTGGCCACGGCGGTGACGACAAACATGAGGTTGAAGCTGATAATGAACTCCAACGCAAAAGCTTGTGCGTAGCCCACGGAGGCCGCCGGCACCGTCACCCCTCCCCCCATCACCGGCTGAAACACCGCCTTCAGCCCGTACCCGGCAACCACCGACGCCGCCACTTGCGCTCCAATGTACACCGGCACCTGCCACGCAAATTGAATTAATAAATAATTACGTACTACCACCTAATCCAGTAATTAATTAAATAATCAAAGCCATTAATTTTTACTCCGAGTGTGATTTGCTAATTACGTGTTTCCAGGGGAAGTGTTTGAGGGCAGCGAAAGCAATGGTGACCGCCGGGTTGAGGTGGGCCCCGGAGATGTGGCCCGTCGACAATATCACGATCATCACCGCGAGCCCCGACGAACCCGCCAGCCCCAGCAGCGACTCCGACCCTTGCGTTTTCTCGTTCACGATCGCCGCCGCCGTCCCGGCGAAGATCAGGATCAGGGTTCCTATGAATTCAGCTCCCACCTGTAGTCCCGGCCAGATAATTAAGTAAAGCACATTTATGTATATAGCAAGAAGCAGAAGGTGGTGAGGAATTATTAGGCACGCAGACGCAGCAGCGTACGTGCGTACCTTGCGGGCGAGGGAAACGGGCGGAGAGCGGGGGAAGGAGAAAGAGCAAGAGACGGCCGGAGGGAAGCGGCCGGCGACGCCTTCCTCCATGGCCCATTCCTCGACGGCGAAGCAGCTGCAGTTCCTCAGCAGTGACGCCGGCTTCCGACCGAGCCTGTTGTGACCGTGGTTGAAGCCGGCGATGAGAGGGGCGCCTGGAGTCCCTGGGGTAGCTGGGGTGGAGGGTGCTGATGGGATCTCTTCACTATTACTATTACTATTGACATTGTTGTTGTTGTCCATAATTAACTAGATGGATGCTTCTGTGTAGTGTAGCGAGCCTGCTACTTAGATGAGTGAGTGAGTGAGTAACTTAATTTACTACAAAGGGATCGATTGGAGTGTTGTACTATTATATAGAGCTTCGATGTGCGCGCGCGTAACGTGAAGGGAAGGTTTAAGTAATTGACTCCGCGAAGAAAACATTTATTTATTTATAATAAAAAAAAAGTAGAGGAAGGGAAGACGACAAGATTGGAGGAGGGAGATGTAGTAGTATTATTATGGGTTAATATCTTAGTTTGGCCCGAACTATACACATACTTTTTACTTTGGCCCGTGTTATTGGAAATTGCTATTCTGGCCTGAACTATATAGCAAACTTCCTCATTTGGCCTGGAGGCGGGTTTGACCGTTAAATCAGACGGTCAAACTTGTTGACCGTTGGTCAATGCCCACCTCACCTTCCACGTCAGCTTTGAGGACATAATTTTTTATTTATTTCTGCTTTTTGTTTTCTTGTCATTTTGCTAAAAATGGACCCTTTTTTCCTTCTTTTAATTAATTTTTTTGATTTATTATTTTTATTAATCAAAAGAAAACAAAATTCAGAAATAAAAAAAAATTTATATCCTCAAAGCTGACGTGGCAGGTGAGGTGGACATTGACTAACGGTCAACAGGTTTGACCGTCTAATTTGACGATCAAACTCGCCTCCAGGCCAAATGAGGAAGTTTGTTACATAATTCAGGCCAGAATAGCAATTTTCAATACCACGGGCCAAAATAGAAAGTATGTGTTTAGTTCAGTCCAAACTAAGGTATTAACCCTATTATTAATATATGGGAAGAGATGCATTGTATTTGTATGCATATTTCAGGGCGAAGTTTGACTTACAAGGACAATCCCAAGGAAATGGATTTCAGAGAGAGAGAGAGAGAGAGGGGGATGAGGAGACAAAGGGGGCAGAGAAGAGAAGTGAGAGGGGAGGGGAGGGGCATGCAATTCACTGCACCAAACTGTTGGGCGACACAGAGATAATGGCGGTGGTGACAGAAAGTGGAAGTTTGCCCTGCCACCTAGCTATCCACATATTCTAATTCAAAGCATGATTATTATGTGTTTTCCCCGGTTTGATATATGGAATGAGTGACCTTGGGATTGTTGTAATGAATGGGAAATCAACTAGCTAATTCACAAGCAGGTAATCAATCTGTCTTCAACTAATTTCTATGTTAGATTTAAATTCTCCATCAAATACCAGATACACTTAGGGGTCGTTTGTTTCAAGGATTTGCAACATGGATTTGTTGATATAAAAAAATCAACCATCATGAATTTACACAAAATCTGTTATTTGCTTTGTCAAAAAATATTTAGATAAATTTGTGGGCCCCACGGATTTGAGTTTTTTTTGTTGCTCCAAATCCATGGCCCCACGGTTTTATAAATCCCACCTCATACCCTGGGATTTGGAGACAAGCTGAAAAACCATCAAATCCATAATAAAAATAGCTCAACAAACAAAGGATTTCCTCAAATCCATAATGCCCAGAATCCCTAATAAATCCCTAGATTTTTATTTAGCAAATCCATGACAAAATTCTCGTTATAAAATTCTTGAAACAAACAACCCCTTAGCCTCCCTCCTTCCTCGGCATGGCTCTAAGGGCATCAACAACTCAGAATATTTAGCAAGTTCAAGCAGTGTGGAAATTTGTCATGGGGAACTAGTTTCGTGAACATAAATATCAACAGTGTTCACTTCCTTCAACCTAATCATCTTTTCTGTTCTCGAGAAGTGATACCTCACATCTATGTGTTTGGTTCTCTAATGATTAACTTGATCCTTTGCCAAGCATATTGCAATCAGACTGTCATAATAAACTCCAACATGATCATGATGTAAACCCAAATTACCAACTAGTCCCTTCAACCATATATTCCCTCATCAGTAGCTTTTGTCAACACCATGTACTCTGCTTTAGTAGTAGACAAAGTAACTATAGACTGCAAAGTTGCCTTCCAACTAAAAACAGAATCTTGAAGAGTGAATACATAACTGGTCACAAGTCTCTGTGTGCCAACATCTACAGAATAATTAGAATCTGAATAACCAACCATTAAGCACTTTGTATCACTTCCAAAAATGATCCCCAAATTAGATGTACCTTTAAGAACTGGAAAATCCTCTTTGAAGCATGTCAATGTTCTTTTCCAAGTTGCACCATGGTCCATGAACCTGTTTACAACATTAACAACATGTGCAAAATTATATTGAGTGAATTGGACTTGAATTAACAACGATTATATCTTTGTTGATTTATAATTAAAAAATATATATGTTTAGTTATCTTTACTATATTAATTATATGTATAATAGTATTGGATGTACGGGTCAACCAGGTACTACCCAAACTATCTACGGATATGAGGATAAAGTTACAAATTTCCTTTCTCCATATAAGTATGGACCAAATATAAATGTACGTTATGATGGTAGTTTAGAGAAACCCCCTCATTGTCATCCCTCACTATTAGTTACCAAAGTGGCTCTTACACCTGCACCAAGAAACAAAACCTTAGGGCTAGTTATTCTTCCACAAAGGTCAAGAATCATGCCGTGAAGATGATTGTTACTAGATCATATGGCTGAGTGGATTGCTTGACAACTTGGGTGTCACTAACTAACAAGGACCAACAACTTTCCACTATGACCACCCAACATCCTTTGTACGGTTTGCGCGCACTCCGTTTTCAAACTGGTGTTCCATGAAAGCACCATCATTTTGTGCGTGAATGTTTCAAACCCAACAAATTTTAGGTATTTGTAACCTTCATACTTCAATTTGAAGAAAATTTCTAAAAATATATGCTGCTTAGCAAATTAGATATTCTAATGTAGAGAGAGTTTTGATTTATCAACTTCTCTTTTTAGTCAATCTTGTATAGGAAGTAGTTTTCCTAGTTCACTTAGGGTGCAAACATTAGTGGCAGAGCCACAAGGTGGGTTCCCGGTTTGTACTGGATATATTACTAGCCTTGAATCTGGATGTCTCAAGTTCCAACTCTTTAAGTAGTACATAATAAAAAAAGTAAACGTATATCACCCTTATAAAAAAAATTAGTAGGTCTTGAATTAGTCAACAAATTTATCGATCAGCAGACACAACTAATTTGCGAAATCAAGTATCTCCACTGTTTCCACAAAGTATGAATTTCTCCATATGAAACTTGCTACCTTTTATCTTCATGAATTATCTGTATTAGGAGAACTACCAAGCTAGCTGTCTAGGACAATAATAGTCACAAAGAAGCCAACTGAGTGTACATTTGTGTGTTTCCTTCTGAAATTAGAGTTGTTGCTATTGGTTGCTACTACAATTGTTAAAAGAGTGAAAACTACTCCTTACCATCAGACGAGTAATGGTGAAATCACGAATGATTATTATTATTATATTATTAATCCACAAATTAAACTACTGTTGCATACAAAATTATCGCGGCCCCTCGAGTCACTGTTCATAAAGGCTGATCCCTGTGATTAGACCCATAATATTGCATCCTACGGACAAAAAAATCTCCTGGACACTTCCGGAAGCTTCAAAGCAATTTTGCATTAGGTTGGCCAATATATTTTCCTGTACACTTCAACGCCTTTTACATTTGGTTGGCCAATTATATTATTAACCCGCAAGTATATATTATATATTGGGTGGCCAATTATATTATTAATCCACAAGTTAAACTACTGTTTTTAATGAGACTTATCATAACTTAATTTTTGTATAACTAAAGTATTCACCATATTATTAATTTGCATTACACAGATTTCTTAAGGTCAATTAACTTTTACATGACAATTCAATCGAGTTTGGTACTTTTCATAAGTTTAATTTATTATTAAGACCACATGTTACAAAAGATTTATGTAAAGTTTTTCTATAAAATTCGTGTAAATTAAAGTTATATTATTTAAAGTTTATAGAGGAATAATTATTTCTTATGCATTAATTAAAAAATATATTATGCAAGTACTCTTTAATTTTAAGACACTACGTTAAGGTGATGAATGAATTTTTATTTCTTATGTATCAATTAAATAAGCTAAGTCTTCTATAACATAAGTTTCAACGAAAATTCATTTATTATTAACTAAACTATTCGTTTTCTCATCAATTTATATTATAGAATGGTCATGTAAGGTTAGTTATAACTTCTACATAACAGTTTAATTAAATATAATAATTTTCATAATTTGATTTTATTAGACCATATATTAAGGAAAATTACTGTAGCATCGCTCTGCAATAGTTACGTAAATTACAAATACATCACTCAACTCAAAATATGGCCATAATACATAAAATTTTGAACTTTAATTGGTAGCATTAGTCTAATATGATGATATAACATAGAATCACAACTAATAAATCCATTATCCAAACCCCTTAACATTTGATTTTGAATCTCAACCCAAAACCCCAAATTATAAACCTAAACCCTAACCCTAAATCCCTAAATTCGAAATTCTTAAAATTAAACTAACTCTTGAATGATTTTTTTAAAATCCACGTGTTTCCTGTTCATAATATCTTAAGCAACGATCAATACCGTTTTGACATGAATCACATGCTCGGATTGACGATTATGAGTCGAGTGCATTGAATGCATAAAAAAAGTGAGTGCACTGAAGACGCCACCATATATATATATCAATATTAAACTAAAATATTACATAATTTTTTATACTGATTAAGATACTACTTAAATTTTATGAAGAGATAATGATTTCTTATGCCTAAATATACGTATTACACAAATATTTTATAATCATTAAGATGCTACACAAAACTTATGAGAGTGCCTTATCGGAACTATTTATTAAATTATTTGATTTCACATAGATGATTAAATGACGTTATAAAATTTTATATATATTTTGTTTCTTACCGCTGCAAAGCGCGGACAAAAAAATTGATTTCACATAGATGATTAAATGACGTTATAAAATTTTATATATATTTTGTTTCTTACCGCTGCAAAGCGCGGACAAATAAACTTGTTTGCTATAATACATTGAGATAGACATGTTTGATAATTTGA